CTGTCGCCCTGAAGGGGGTCCCCACAGGGGCCGTACGGGGCCAAGAGTGGGCACGACCTGTGAGTCCGTGACAGACACCAACAATCCAATGTTCAGGTTTCTCCCCGTCCCCCAGACAGTCCTGCAACAGGAACCCAGCGAGCGATGTGCCAGGTGGAAGCAGGTAAACGGCCCCAGCTGAGCTCCGGCCGGTTCCAGAGGTGACAGACGCTGCTGGGATACGCCAGCTAACCCAGGCCGAGCCGCTGGGCGTCCCTGGCTTATGCTCAGGGATCCCGGCCTCTCAGCTCAGCAGCAGAAGGCTGCAGGCCCCAGGCCTTGGCCGAACAGGAAGGCGCCAGCTCTTAGCCAGGCCTCGGTCAGCACGTGGCTGGCCGGAGCGGGTGCCCGGCGCACACCGATCTGTCGGGCGCCTGCGGGTCGGCCCAGGGACACGCCGGGCCCCGGGAGATCCGGAGGTGACAGGATAACGGATGACGATGCTTCGTTCGAACGAGCAGGTACAAGACACGAGGCTGGTAACTAGCACTGGGAACGTGACACACAACTTGTTTCTGTCAGTGGTTAAATGGAGAAGTCGTGGGGGGCGTCTGGGCCGGGGCCGGCGTCCTGGTGCCGACTGAGCCGGCCCCTTGGCATGGGCACTTGTGTGTTTGTGTCCATGGGACCATGCGCCAGGCCGGGGCTTTGCCGGCCGTGACCTGGCCAAGCGCCTTCGCCCCCCTCCCGCTGCTAGTGCAGCCGCCTCTGGAGCATCCAGACCAGCCGCACCCGCAGAAACACCCACCGCAGCACCCACAGCAACACCCGCAGGAACAGCCGCCGCAACACCCACAGCAACACCCGCCGCAACACCCGCCGCAACACCCGCCGCAACACTCGCGGCAATACCCGCTGCAACACCAACACCTGCAGCAACACCAACACCCGCAGCAACACCCGCAGCACGGGCACCACGTCCGGCCGGGGACTCGAGTCCCTCCCCCGAGCTTGCGCTGCTGGGCCCAGCCCTGCACCTGCTCCCGCCACAGTCCCCGAAGATCAAGAGAAACGCGTCACAGAACCTGTGCGGGAAACCCGGGCCTGCAGCGGGGAGGCCCCGCCCACGAGGGAGTGATGGGGGACGCGGCTGGGTCACGTGCTCACCAGGAGACGTGCCAGGAACCCGTCCTGCCGCCCCCAGTGGCCTCTGTGCTCAACACCCCGGTGCCCAAGAACTGGGCGAGTGGCCCGCGGGCATTGCTGCTGCCAGCACAAACCGACCCCCAGGATGCAGCAAACAAGCAATTGCCACGTAACACGCAGGCGTGCAGCGGGCGCAACCGTGCAGCCAGGGAGACTGGCGCAGCCCTGCCAATGCCCCTCAATCCCGACCAGCAGCCTCCGGCTGTCCCAGCCCTGAACACCCCCCTCTGCTCATGCCCCTTACCCTCCACCCACCCCCAGCCCAATCTGGCTTCTCCAGCCCGGCCCAAGGCCGTTCCCGCGCTGCCTGCGCCCGGCGGCTCTCACCGCGGGCGACTCGTCAGTGGGGAAGGGGGAAATCCGGCTTCAAACAATTATTGTTTTTTCCACCTGACTGGCTGCAAACTTGTTAATTTTTTTGTAATGGGTGAGAAGTGTAGCCGGCAGCTGCCTGGGAAATGAGTGGCTGAGCGAAGCGCGGGGCCCTGGCTGGCTTTCAGCTCTCCCGCGGCTCCCTCGCGCACGCTGCCGTCTATAAATAACGCCCCGTCTCCGCAATGGCAGAACGGCAGCGCTGGGTGCGGGCGTCGGACATAAAACCGTCCCTCTTTATGGCTCCAAACCATTCGCGTCATTTAGTGCAGCTCCGTAAACCTTCTGTTCTCCGCACGCCCCCGTGGTGCGAACAGCTCCTGACGGCGCGTGCCCAGGGACCCCGGCACCGAGCGACGGCTTCCCTGCCCCCCCCCACTCTCTCCGAGCAGCACGGCCCGCCTGCGCCCGGCACCCCGGCGCCAGGATCCTCCGGCCCACAGCTCCCCTGCTCCCACCCCTCCCCAGTGCAGCATCCGGGATCCTGGCACCGAGCCCTGTCGCAACCCCCCTGCGGTACCACGGCAGCCAGGACCATCAGACACCAAGATATGCCCCCCACCGACCCCCGCGTGTCACCCCTGGCTCCCCGAGGCCGTGGCGGGGGCAGGGGGCGAGGTGGGGCATGGGGCGGAGGCAGGGAGCGGGGCCGGGGTGGGGGCGAAGCAGGGGGTGAGGCGGTGGCAGGGGTGGGGGGCAGGGGGTAAGGCCGGGGCAGGGGGATGGGGGTGAGGTGGGGCCAGGGGGCCAGCTGGGGCAGGACGGGTGATGAGGTGTGGCAGGGCAGGGCGGCGGCAGGGGGGCGAGGTGGGGTCAGGGGGGGAGGGCGGGGGGGGGCAGGGCGGCAGGGGGCAAGGTGGGGCAGGGCGGGGGCAGGGGGCGGGGTGGGACCAGGGGGCGACGCCATGGTGGGGGCAGGGGACGAGGTGGGGGCAGGATGGGTGGCGAGGTGTGGCGGGGCAGGGTGGGGGCAGGGGGACAGGTGGGGCCAGGGGGCGAGGCCGTGGCGGGGGCAGGGGGCGAGGTGGGACACGGGGCAGGACGGGTGGCGGGGCAGGGCGGGGGCAGAGGGCCAGGGGGCGAGGCCATGGCGGGGGCAGGGGGCGAGGTGGGGCACGGGTCAGGGCAGGGGCAGGGGGCAAGGTGGGGCACGGGTCAGGGCGGTGGGGCAGGGGCAGGTCTAGCCCCTCGGCAAAGGCTGCTCCTGGTTCAGGGCCTCCGGCTTTTCCACCCACCCGTTCACTCCAACCCCCCCGTCTCTCTGCCAGGGGCCCTGGCTTCCCGCTGACCCCCCCACCCCACGGTGACCCACTGACCCCCCCCCATAGGAGGGCGAAGGCAAAGCCCCACCCCCACCCCACGGTGCAGCCAATTGCATTGTCCCAGGGCAAACACGCTGCACCTCCTGCCCCCCCCCCCACGCACACCGCAACCAATCCCGTTATCCTGCAGCAAGACGCCCCTGCACTCTGGCCAATCAGAGGGCTTTGCAGTGGACCACCTGCATGGAGCGCAGCCAATCACAGCATCCTGCAGGAGCCCCCTCCCTGTCTGCCAGCCCCACAGTGGGGCAGGGCATCCCCTGGCGTCAGCCAATGGTTTTGTCCATCCTGTAAGGTGCGAGGGGGTCCGGCCCGGGGGGCGGGAACGTGGGGCAGAATGGGGAGGCCGGGCCCCGGGGGCGCCCTTCGCCCCAGTGTGGTAGGGGGCGGAGCTAACCAAACAGGCCCCGCCCCCACGGCTATGGGGAGAGCGAGGGGCACCGGCCGCCCCCCAGCAGCTGCCCCTGCCCAGGCCCTGGCGGCCTCCCAGGCCGGCTCTGTAAGAGCCTGACATGAAATTACCCAGATAAGCGCCGAAGAGCTTTTAAAGTCAATTCATTACATGTAATTAGGACAGGAGTGTTCTGCTCCCGCGATCGGATCTTGTCACCGCCAGCAGCTCCGCCAGCCCCGCCGCTCCCCTGCTGCCCGGCCCCCCGGCATGGCCCTGGGGTCCCCCAAACGCAGCCCTGCCGGTGCCCCTCACTCCCGACCCACAGCCCCCACAGCCAGCCCTGCCCCCCCACCCCCCCGCTCTGCCGGTGCCCCTCACTCCCGACCCGCAGCCCCTGCCATCCCAGCTTTCTGCATCCAGTTGCTGCTCCCGTCCCAGCCCCGGTGCTGTGGGGCTCGCGTTGCCGGCACTGTGTGCTCACTGCCTGGGCAGCCCTGCTGGGCGGTAGTGGGGGCTCGTATCCGGAAGGGAAGCAGGGGCAGCGCGTGCTGGGCTGGCTGCACTGGGCGGCAGGGGGCTGAGGGGCAGGGGGGGCCGGGATCCGGGCTGTGCCCAGCAGAGCCAGACGGGGTCAGAACTGCGCCCAGCGCCTATGGCGAGGTCTCTCCAAGTAAGGATCCTTCCGCTCTCCGGCCTCCCCACCGCTCCCGTCCTGGACAATCAGACCCCGTCCGAGCCCCAGGGGTGCCCCCCTCTGCCAGCGCCTGCACCCGTGGGTCCCGCCCTGCTCAGCCCAGCGCCCCGTGCCCTGCGTGGCCAGCCAGGGGTTATGGGCACCTGGCCCCCCTCACAGGGCTGCCAACGGCTGCATGTGGGTCTCTGTCCCAGGGAGCTCTCCGTGGGGCGGGGGATGGGAACAGGCTGGGGGGGCTGAGGTTTGAGTTGGGGGCTGGCAGCAGTGGGGGCTGGGGACGGGCTGGGTTGGGGGCTGGGGGCAAGTGGGGGGGGTGGGCTGGAGGCAGGTGGGGGGGCAGGCTGAGCTGGGGGCTGGGCTGGAGGCGGGGGGGCTGGGAGAAGGGGCTGGGGTGGGGGCTGGGGCTGGAGGCAGGGGGTCTGGGAGAAGGGGCTGGAGGCCGGGGGGAGGGGGGGGCTGTCCCAAAGGGGAAGTGCCCGTCCCGCTGGGTCCTGCTGCTCCAGGATCTCGCCCCGGCTCTGCCCCACGGGCTTCCGGCTGGTGCAGGGCGCTGGGGGGAGCTGGGCCTGTCCCTCACCCCCGGGCCGGGCTGGCCTGTGTGGATGGCTGTGCCTGGGGAGTAACGACCAGCTGGTGGGCGCCGGGCACCCTTGGGGGGCAGCGCAGGGGGAGTCGGGGACCCGAGGGCTCAGCCACCCCCTCCCCCGCTGCAGCCCAGGCCCGAGGGCAGACAGAGACCTGGCCCGGACCCCCCAGAGTGGGCACTCGGCCTGGGCCCCTTGGAGCTGCTGCCGCTGGAGCCCCCGGCCCGGAGCCCCCGGCTATTCGAGAAGCTAACCGGGCAGCTCTGCCAGCCCAGCAACGGGCTTGGGGCTCCCCCAGGCTGGGCTGGGCCCCTCTGCCCTGCAGGGCCTGGGGCCGAGCGCAGGAGAAGCCCGCAGGGGTTGGCTGGGGGGCCCCCAGGCTGGCCCAGGCCCTGTGGCTGGGGCCGGCTCTCTGCAGCCCACGCTCGCCGTGCCGGTCGCTGAGTCCCTCAGCCCCCGAGAGCTGCGGCCGTCGTGTGCAGCGAGCGGCTTGTCCCTGCGCCGGCCAGCGGCCCCTGCACGGGGGGGAGCAGCCCAGCCACTTACCCAGAGTAAAAATAGCCGGGCACGGCGACATTTGTGGCAGGCGGCTCCGGCGGAAAGGTCAGCGAGAGGCCCTGTGGTGGGGGCGCCGCTGATTAGCCGGGGGAGTTAAACGGCGCCTTTGTCAGAGCCAGGAACGAACACGCAGGAAATACGGGGAGGGGGGAGGCCCCAGCCCACGGCCGAACCGGGCCCCTCCCTGCCCAGTGTCTGGGTGCGGGCTGGGCGCCAGCAAGCAGCAGGGGGTCTCCAGGCGGCTGCCGGCTGCTGGCTGGGCTGGTCAGAGCGTCAGCCCCAGGGATGGCAGCCGCCGAGCAGGGGGTTTCCCACCTGACCCACGGAGGGCGAGCTCGGGGCTCTGCCGGCTGACTACTGCTGCCGGCAGGTGGCACCTTCGCTCTCAGATCCGGCCGTCCCGCCACACCAGGGCGCTGCCCCCGCCTGCCCCTCGGCAGCACCCACAGGACAGGCACGGGGTCACACTGACCCAGCAGAGCAGGGACCCCACGTCCCCGCAGCACGTTCCGGACGTCCCCAGGGACCCCGAGTCCTGCCAGCTCCCCACGGCCTCCCCACTGCCCAGAGCGGGAGGGATTCACCCAGCGTCACACAGGGACGAACCTCGATCGCCCAGATTAGTGCCCGATGCCTCCGTCCAACAGCGTCCTCGTACAGCGCTGCCGGTGCCCCTCACTCCCAACTCACAGCCCCCCAGCTCTGACAGTGCCCCTCACTCCCGACCTGTAGCCCCTGCTAGCCCCACAGCTCTGCTGGTGCTCCTCACTCCCGACCCGTAGCCCCTGCTAGCCCCACAGCTCTGCCGATGCCCCTCACTCCTGACCCACAGCCCCCCAGCTCTGCCGGTGCCCCTCACTCCCGACCTGCAGCCCCACAGCTTTGCCGTTGCCCCTCACTCCCGACCTGCAGCCCCTGCTGTCCCCTGTATTTCCATAGGCCTGGCCCTGGTGCCTGGCTCTGTCTGCTCGGTTTCTTCTCTAGCTGCCTGATCCTGGAGGCTTCGCCCCACACCCCGGCCGGCTAGAGCAGCGCAGACCCGCCGGGCCCTGGGAACTCCCCCGGCCCCGACCCGGCGGCTCCGGGCCAAGCCCAGCGCCCGGGAGCCCAGCCCCGTGAAGGCCCCTGCCCGGAGGCCGGTCTGTGCCAGGCTCGGCGGATCCTGCCAGCTGCGGCGGAAGCGCTGCCAGCTCTCGGCAGCCTCCCCGGGGCCGGGTTCGCGGGGCCGAGCCGAGACAAAAGGCTTTTGACAGGGATTTCGCTTTTCAGAACAGCCGCCAACCTGAGCGCACGAGGCAGCGAGCGATCGCCCGGCAGGCGCACGGGGTGACAGCAGCCAGGCTGGGGGCTCCTCCATCCGCCCCCACCTGCTCTGCCCCCCCCGGCCCTGCCCAGGCTGTTCCTGGAGGCTCCAGGCGCTGGGGGGGCCATGAACGGTGCCAGCCCCCGGGGAGGGGCCCTGCCCCCCACCCGTCAGGCTGCGGTGCAGTGGGGGTGGGGAGCTGCCAAGGACAGGGAGAGATCGACAGCCCCCCCCATGCCTGCCCAGTGCCCGCTCGCCCACGCGGCAGCCTGGCTACCAGCCAGGGGCTAAACCGGCCCCTGCCAGCGTCAGGGAGCGACCCCTCCCCCAACGTGTCCCCACCCTCGCTGTCTGCCGCAGGGCCTGACCCGCTGTGCCCCGACTCGGTGCCCCGGAGCCGCCCGCCTGTGCGGGGGGTTGCGGGGAGCAGCGCTCAGGACACGCTATGGCCACTGCGCTGGGCTCGGGCAGGACTGGGCCACACCCCAGGATCAGGCCGGGGCAGCCCAGCAGCCCCCGCCCCAGCCGCTGCCAAGGACTAGCCCAGGAAACCGCCCGCTGGAGCGTGACGACGACTCCCAGCACCACGGGCTCTCTGCTCCCGCCGGAGACACGGGCCCCCCAGCTGCCCACGCCAAGGCCGGGAAGAGCCGCTGGGCAGGGCGGGGGGCAGCGCAGGCGGGGGTGGGTGCCCGGGCCCCTGCGTCTCTCCCACACCGGAGCGCAGGGGGACCCGCAGTCCAGCTGCAGGGAACCAGGCTGCGGCTCTGCCCCCACGAGCCGGCGGGAGATTTACAGCTCGGCCCGGCTTTACGACTCGGAAGCTGCTTACGCCGGGATTTTCCCCCCGTGCCGGCCCATAAAGAACCAGGCTGGTGACGGGCCGGAGGCTGATTTCCAACTCGCTGCCTGCAGTAAAGGGCCCAACGAGGGGCAGCCCTGCCCCCCAGGAGAGCACACAGGGCCAGGCCCCAAGCAAAGAGCCAGCCCCACTGCTGCCCCACAGCTCCTGGCCAGAGCGCTGCTCCAACCCACCTCCGCTGGGACGCACTCACACCAGTTCCCACGGCTGAGTGGGGTGAGAACCCAGGAGTCCTGTGCCCACCCCAGCACAAGCTGGGGGAGAGGAGCAGTGCCTGGCTCTTCCCCCCCCCACGTTCCCCCCCCCCGCACCAGCCCCACGCCCCCAGTGGGCCCCCAACACCCACCCCCCGGCACTACCCGTCCCTCCCCACGGCACCCTGCTTAGAAACGGCCCCACACAGCAACCCGCCACACCACACCGCCAGCAGCGGGGCCCAGGGCTTGGCCCCAGGGAGTCTGGGCTCTGCCTCGAAGGGCTCAGTGGGACCCGGCGCTTAGCCAAGCCCTCCAGCGACGGGCAGCCCCACAGCCAGCCCCTCCCCTCTGTGCTGGCCTCACTTCCAGCCCCCGATCCTGGGCAGAGCCCCAGCCTTCGATCCCCCTCCGCAGGCTCAGCCCAGGGACCCTGGCGGTGGCAGTGAGGAGACAGGTGTCTGCGCCCCCCACCCCCTCCAGGGGCCAAGGCACAGAGAGGTGATCAGAGCGCCGGGCTCCCGGCTCCCAGCCCTGTGCTCATACCTCTGCCCAACAGCCACACAGGCCACGACCCCCTCTGCCCCCCGCGGGCACCCAGCAACACCCACCAGGGAGAGGGGCAGCATCCTGCCCTCCCCAGAGCCCCCCTCTCCTCTCCCCCACCTCACTGCACAGCGATGGCATCTCCCCTGGCCAGCTCTGGCCTCATGCTGCTGGGTGAGCCCCGCTGCCCTGCGCCCTGATGCCTGCAGCCTCCCCTCCCCGAGCCGGGCGCGGGCTGCGGCTGGCAGCGCTGCTCCGGGAGTGAGGATCAGGCCGCCTGGCAGCCGCAGGAGGGAAGCGGCTCATTTCCAGAGTCATTACGGGCGGCAAAGGTCCCATCAGGTATTCCGCCCGCTCAGCACATTGATTTCCCCAAAGCACAGCGCGGATTTGGGTCTTCCGGCGCCTGCGCTAGCCCCAGCTGGGGCCGCGCTGCCTGGACCAGCACGTGGGGAGTGGCCTGGGCCCTCGGGCCCCGCGTGGAAGGGGCCAGCCCAGGGCTGGGCAGGCTGCCGGGGCAGACGGAGGCACGTTGGGAGCAGCAGCTGCTCGGGCGCTCCAAGCGCGTGTGTGACCCTGGCACCCCATGGGGTGTCTCTCCTCGCGAACCCCCTGCCAGCCCCGGTGCTGGGGGCTGCCCCCGTGCTGCCCGGCGACCCCAGTGCCACCCAGCCCGGCCGGCCAGACAGCAGCCAGGCACTGAGCAGGGTCCCACAGACCAGAGCAAGGCAACGAACTGCAACTTCCCAAAGCATCCAGCAACCCCTCAGCTCCCCCCTGGCACCAGCTCTGCAAGCCCCTCCATCCGTGGGGGCCCAGAGCCCTGCCCCCAGCGCAGATCGGCCCCTGGACAGAGCTCTGGGAAGGGCTCTCCTCGGGGAACCTGGAGGGAAACTCGAGCAGACAACGCTGGAGCAGCAGGTGCCAGCACCCGGGGCCAGATGCCTACAGCCGGGCGGGGACTCACCACGGTGAAGTTCTGGGAGGAGCACTTCTCGCCGCTGAAGTTGCAGCTCTGGAGCATGTCGTCGAGCTGGTGGCCGGTGCGGTTGAGGATGTCGGCCATGTCCGGGTCCGGGTAGAGCAGGTCGGCCGCCCTGTGCCCCTCGCGGTCCTTGGGGGGCAGCCCGGTCATGTTGGCCAGGTGGAAGATGTCGGCGTCGGAGAGCGCGGAGTGGCGGAAGCGGTTGATGTTGCAGATGGTGACGGCCGGGAAGAGCATCTCGCGGGCGGCCTCCTCGTCCAGCGCCGTGAGGTGCGGGCGCTCCAGGTAGAGCAGCGCCGAGCGGGCCGCCTGCGACAAGAAGAAGGCCAGCGAGAGCAGGAAGGCGAACGCCCACAGGGTCTGCCGGACGCCCAGGCGCCCCGACCTACAGATGTGGCCAAGGCCGTGCAGGGTGCTGGTGCCAGCGAAGGTGGCCAGGTCGCGGGTGCGCGGGCGGCTGGGCTCCTCGATCAGACTCTCCTTGTCCCCTTCCTCTTCCTCCTTCTGCTTCTCATCCTCCTCGGCAAATTTAATTTTGCACACGATCTCAATCGGCATCTGCCCAGAGCGGCCGGCGCGCCCACCGTGCCCAGCCAGCGAGCTCGCCCCCGGCGCGGGGACCCGGCCAGACCCGGGGACGGGCACGGCAGAGCCTCCTGTGGGGCAGGACACCTCACCCGCCAAGGCAAGCGCAGCCCTTCTCCGGAGCTCCCAGCCGCTGCTTCCCGCTTGTCTCACTAGTCGATCGTCTCCTTGTGCCTTCGCTTATCAGCACAAATACAGCTGTCAAATAACCCTGCCTCTGCCTCCGCTGAACGCTGCTAAGACCCGGCAGACACAGGCAGCATGTGCTAATACAATCCAGGGAATACTTAATCATTCAAGACATGTCACCGTTATTTCCCCGTGCAGCCCGGCGTGAGCGGAGGCAGCGGGCAGCGACCGGAGCCCCCGGGCAGGGGCACCGCGCCGAACCGAGCCCCGCCAGGCTCCAAAGTGCTGCTCCAGCCACTTGTTAGAATAGCTCGGCCGCGGCAAAGTGATGCCAAGGAGAGCAGAGAGCACTGCCGGCCTCAGCTGCCGCTGCCGCTCGCTGGCAGCTCCGCTCGCCCGCCCGCCGGGGCCTGGCACCCCCTGCCCACGAGTTCCTGCCCCAGGAGAGGAGCAGCCCCGTGGCGGGAGCGGGGACGGGGAGCCGGAGGCAGCCTGCAGCCAGCCAGCAGAGCAGCCCCTCCTAATCCCCCGGCTGTGGATCCTCCTGGACGTTAACCGCCTCCCTGCCGTGCGGCTCCTGCTCCCAAAGTTGGGAGGTGCAAATCCGCTGGCTCCTCGCGGCCGTGCCGCCCGTGCCCTCGCCGCGGGCCACCTGCCTCCTCCCTTGCCGGCTGCGCGATCAGGGGCGAGGAGGGAGCAAGCCGGCAGGAGGAGCTGCCCGATCGATGGCGCTCCCCGCGGAACAAGCAGCGGGAAAAGTGAAAAGGGTTATTGATCCGTGCGAAGCAGCAGCTGTCAGGGATTAGGGCTCCCTCCCCTTCCCGGGAATTAATGCCGCGCGGAGCGGAGCCCGAGCCGGCTGCAGCTCTGCATGCGCCAGCGGTTCCCTCGGCTCCGGGCTGGCCAGGCTCCTGGAATCGCTGCTGCCAAGTTCCTGCGCCCCCCCATGCCCGAAAGGGGGGCCAGGGAACCTCAGGCAAACGCCGCCCCCCTGGAGAGAGGCCCTGGAGCAATGCACCACCCGGCTCGCCCAGCGTGCCCGGGGGCTCACCGGGCCCCGGAGCCATGGGGCAGGAGCTGCCCCACCAGGCAGCTGCAGCCTTTGGCCCAGTCCCAGGGGCACGGCAGGGCCCAGCACCCGCCGATGGCCCCAGCTCGTTTCAAGGCCAGGGATGTCGAAGCAGAGGCAGGGAGCGGAGCAGGGCCCCCCTAGCCCCCCACCCTGCCTGCCACGCAGGTCGGGCCCTGCCGCCCAGGACCTGCAGCAGCACCAGCTGTGCCTCCCCCCCACTCAGGTGCAGCCCCGGGAACACCCCCCCCTCGCTAGGGCACCCCCCCGGCAGCCGCCCCCACGTCCCCTGGCACCGCGCAGCGGGTCAGAGCCACCCTCACGCCGCGGCCGATGCCA